AAAAAAAAAAGCCAACCCAACAAACCCATCTTTCCGCCCCCGCCGGGTTGCTGGCGTTTACAGGCGGATCGAGAGTACCGCGGGCATAGCTTGAGTTCCCTCCTCTTCCTCCTCCGCCACCGCGTAATAACCCTCCCCTCTTTCACCGTGGGTCTCCCACTTCATCACTTCTCGTTTAGACCATCAGTGGTATTCAAACGACATAGTCTGGGCGAAAACAGTAGGCTCCAGGGGTATGATTCTTACAGCCCTGAAGTGTTATGATGCGGCGAGAACAATTAAAAAAAAGAAAAATAAATCTAATTACACAAACAAGCTATTAATTTAAAAAGAAAACAGGGAAAGGGAGAGAGAAAAAAAAATAACCCAAGCTCTTCCATTCATCCTCCTGATAATGGAATTTGCTTCCTTTCTCCAGCATGTGAATAGCCTAACAAAAACAACTTGAGCTTTATAAATAGCTTTTCATGTCCATTTAATGAAAATGATTTGGGGAAAGAGACGATTGTGCCATCAGTATTCTCCCGAGGAGCCTGGCATGCCGTTGTGTTTAGTTTGAAAGTGTAAATCTCTTTTGTTCCAATAATATATGGCGTTAGCTGCTTGTCCTCAGTCTTTTTCTGTTAGTTCATTACTACACAATTACCATTCACGCTTCATTAGCATCTCTGTCTCTCTTGGGGAGGTTCCCCCCTCCCTTTTTTTTTAAGGCGAAACTCTGCCCTTTTTATCATACCAATGCCATTGGGAACCAGGCAATGTGCTAATTAGCTGTTACTTTTCATGTCTTCGGCTTGAATTCTCCAACTTTGGAGGGGGAGAGAGAAGAGATTAATATAAAAAGATGAATACTGATTGATCAAAACTGCATCTATAGAGGAGCGGTTTTGTTCAGAATCAGAAAAGTCCTCATTTTCATCTCGAGCATAATAAAGTGCCTGAAATGATAAAAGCGTCTGAAAAAAATCAAATGCTTCTGAGCAGGAGGGAAAGCTTTTTTATTATACCTCTATTTTAGCCAGTACGCCTCACTTTGCCTTTTCAGGCCGGAGACCTTTGAATCTCTCAACAAAACCGGCCACTATTGATCCATTTTACACGTCTGAGTTGATAGATCTAATCCCAGTGATCACTGGCTGAAAGGGGGGTGCTCAGTTAAGCCTAAGGCTCCTTTTCAGGGCCCCAAGGTTGATGGGTGCCCACCTGAAGGGCAGGGAGGGGGAGGTGGGGGCCAGTCCCGCTCTGCTCAGTGCTGTGTTTCCCCCCACAGCCACTTCTGCCGTGGTCCCCATCCCTGGCACCTTCTCCTGGCCACTGGCTGCCCGCGGCAAGCCCCGGCGTGGCATGCTGCGCCGTGCCGTATTCTCCGATGTGCAGCGGAAGGCGCTGGAGAAGATGTTCCAGAAGCAGAAGTACATCAGCAAACCTGACAGGAAGAAATTGGCAGCCAAGCTGGGCCTCAAGGACTCACAGGTGAGAAGGGGTGTGGGGAGGGCAGAGGGGTGTGGGGAGCCAGGTCCCTACCCCCGGGGACAGCTGGAAGAAAAAAAGGGGAGAGGAGCAGGGAGAACTGCCCACAACCAGGAGAAAGCTCAAAGCAAGCTACAGGGTTGGGAGCATCAACGGAGCAAAGAAAGTGGCACAATTCCCAGATGAGTGAGTAGGATGGGACAGACCACAGCCTTGTTACCCCTTGACCCCTCTCCTAGGGTCCCCAAAGGTCAGGTTCTGTGGTTCCTGTTAGCTTCAGTATGGGCATGAGCAGGGTTTTGGGCATGCAACCAAAAGGTCTTTCCTGGTCCCTGTTTTATTGAACTGTTTCATTTCTGTGTTGCTTCACCCCACCTCAGGTGAAGATCTGGTTCCAGAACAGGAGGATGAAGTGGAGGAACTCCAAAGAAAGAGAGCTCCTCTCTTCTGGTGGCTGCAGAGAACAGACCCTACCCACCAAGTTCAATCCTCACCCAGACCTCAGTGACGTAGGCAAGAAATGTTCAGGAGAGGAGGAGGAGGAGGAAGTTCCCCCTGTGTGCCCACCCAGCCCCCGACATCCCTTAACCTACCACCAGTCCCCAGAACACCTCCACTTGAGGGACAGACTGGACTCCCAAATGTCTCCTGTTTCTCCATCCCATTCTAGCAGCCCTAGCAAGCCTTCAGACTTCTCAGACTCAGAGGAAGAGGATGACGAAGGGGATGAAGAGGAGGAGATAACAGTCTCTTAGACCACCCTGCCTGCCCCCTCTCATCACATGGGGACATTGCAAAGATGTAAATAAACCAGAGTGCTATAAATTGAAGAGGTGATGTCCCACCCACTTGTCCACATCCTTCTCCAGTGCAGGTTCTTTACCGCATAGCTGCAAGACTTTCTGCTTATAGGTATTCCTTATTCTTTGCCCCATGTGGAGGTTTTCATATTCATAGCATCTGCTAACCTTTTGATAAATCTCTCTGCTCAACAATCAACATTTGCTCAATCAGCTGCCTTCTCCTGAGAGCAGCAGGCAGCTCCTTGCTTTATAGCAGGGAAGAAAGTATAGCCTGTTGGAAGGGAAACTTTTCTCCCCAGATAAGAAACAAAAAACCCCACCATATAGATGCTGTGGCCATTTTTACTACCTTTCAAGTGAATTTTGAGCTACTATTAAGATATGGAAACCCTAAAGCCTGCTCTGATCTGGCGATCCTTTCTTCCAGAAGTAAAAACCATTATTGAGGGGCACAGACCAAACGCTGCCTCCCTCCTCACCCCCAATAGCACAATACTTGTGCACCAGACCCACTGAAATCCCCAGATTTACTGCTACAGTATAATGTAAGTGTGCCTTGTGTTATGGAGAACCTTATATATTTATATACTTTTCACTATAATTTATGCATCGATATTATATTGGAAGCACTGTCTAACCCAGCTTTTTGCCCACTGGCCTGCGCTTATTTTCCACTTTGCTTCTGCTATCCATGATGTGGACAGAGGAAAGTGGATATGCCTCTTTGATTTTTGACTGAACTTTGCTGTCTTTGCACAGCTTATATGAACTGTACACTATTTTGTACACTTACTCTGTATGGATGTTTTATACCAAGGTTATTGTGAGTGAATATAAGGATGGCTCAGCAAGATTTCTCTCTTTTTTTTTTTAATTAAATGACAGCTAAACTACAGACAAATGTAGCTGTTTAATTGTGTAACTTATAAAGAAATGCTTTTATTTTGTATTTTACCATGTACAGACTTTAAATATGTATATATAATAAAGCGAATGATTGCCAAATAAAAAAAAAAAGGTAGACTTTCAAGTTTGATCATTCAGTAATACTTTGTTCTGTTTTACAGCTTGTTGGAGGTTGAGTTTGAGTCCAAACAGGGAAAGAAAAAAAAAAAAAAAAACAACAAACAGAACTACCTCTTACCAACAATATAATATTTTATAAGAATTTATCGCCTTCAAATTAAACAACCTTACAAGACTATCTACCTGCCTTTTAACTAGGGAGCGACTCGATCAAAGAAGTAAAGATTTTGTGTAGTTAAAATTAATACAGGTTCTCCCTCCTCACATTTAAATGCAACTTAATTTCTGCTGATGTTACCCTCCCTGTGCTCGCCTCTAAAGCCCTCCTGACTCTCCTCCTTCCTCCAGTTATTGCCTACGTAGGTTGGGGTGTGGATACTTGCCCTGTGTCACCCTTCTAAGGTACGTAGTTCCCAGTTCGTAGACTGGGAGCATGTAATTAGAATATTTTTATGGGGCAGAGCAACAGAATGGAAGAGGTAGACTTAAGACAACCCTTCAGCCTTAAGTCCAGTCAAGGATCACTCTTACAACACAAGGTAAATCCGTAACTACCTGCATATTTTTAAAAATATAAATACACACAATACGTATATACAGAATGGTATCTATAAATGTACATACAGGGCTGACCGAAAGTTAAGACATATTATCAAGGACACGGTCCAAATGCCTCTTAAACACTGCCAGGCATGGGGCATCCACCACCCCACTAGGAAGCCTGTTCTAGCTACTCTCCAATTAAGTAACTGGACACACCTAAGCCAGGACACATTGTCACTTTAGCTATTTTCTCCCCCTCTAGCACCTTACAGCCATTAGCAAGTCATAACATACACCTGACATAGGGCAGAGAATGGATAAGGCACACACACTGTTTATCCCACGATACACAAGAGAATGTGAAACAGAAAGGTTTGTTTGGTTTGGTGTTTGTTGGATTAAAAAAAAAAAAAAAAAGGCAAAAAGCTTTTCCAAAAAAGCAGCACATCTCCCAAGCATACCTAAAACATCACAGAAACGCGCACTGAACAGCAGCTGGCACCATCTATCTGAACACTCGGCCAGGGTCAAACAACTGTTACGTGCGCTACCAACAGTGTACATACTGGAGGATGTATTGTTACCTATCTATTGACTCTTTAAATGACAGAGAACCCCGTAACAATTATTTATAGCAGTCACTATAAAGGCCATAGTTAAGTAACCTATAAAGACAATGCAATTAAAACCACTTATTTTGTTTGAAAATTCATAGGCTACTCCAGAGGCCACAGGTACCACCACACATACCACAGTACTCAAGAAAGGAATATGTTCAAAACAAGAAAAGGTCTCACCTATACAGAATCCCTCCTGATAACAGAAACTACTGATCATTTTATACCCTCTGCTCTTTACAGCTTCTCTGCACTTGGAATGTTACCAAAAATAATGATTTCAGAGTACTCCTTTCAGCATGAGTGCTATTACATTTTACTCTGCTAGACAAACAGCCTTACTAGAGGAAAAATAACCTGGAATTGCCATTCAACAGGGAAAAAAACCTTAACTGAAAGGTAAGATGTATCAACCTTATATTTTTTTTCCTTTTAAGGATTTCTTTTAACATAGCAAAAAGTATGACCACCAAGCATAACTGTTTGAGATTCACGGATAACTTAATATGAAACTAAAGAGCTTTTTAAATTTTTTTACTCACCAGCAGCTGCCAGACTGCATCCATAGCTTGCAAGAAAAGACTCTCTGTCTCCAAGGCTTCCATTTTATACTCTGGGTGGTGAAGCCAGAGTTCACACCTGTGGCTCATGCAGGACAGCTGTGCCAAGAGAAGTCCTGCAGAAGGAGCTGCTCTTTCTGAGGTCTGACATTAGAGGCATCAACTTACTCACTTAACTCAAATGCAGAGCAATTCCAGTTGCTTTAGGAGGACCTGATGAGAACTGGGCTTGTTGCTGCTGTGCATGACACTGGGAGTTCAGCTTGGGTCTATTTCTAAGAGCAAAATGTTTCATAATTTGCTGTTAACATAAAGAGTGTCAGATGCCACCTCCCCCTACTCTCTGAAGCTAGCTAATACAAAACTGATGGCCCTGGAAAATTATTTCTTAATTTATTAATAGACCTCTCTGTATGCTTTGAGAAAGGAAGAAAGGTGGTGAGAAGATTTTCCTGCCTTCATGGAGATGGAAAGATTTCCATATTGATTAGTAGCATCCAGTTTTTGAAACTTTGGAACAAAGCAATCCTGGATGTAATACACTCCCATCATATAACTGCTTTATGATATTAAAGTGCTGCTTTTAAAGACCTGGTGGCCTGGAGTGGTCTTGAATGTCTGTTCTTCCTTCTCACAGCCAGGATGGAAATATCTGACACTGGGGAATGGGAAATGAGGAGAGGGGGATTTATCTTTGGTGACTGTGAGCTCAGGGCAGCAAATTCTCAATTATTTTATCCCTTAAGAAACCAGCTGGTTTGACATCTGTGCCTGCTGTAACTCTGAGCTTCCCAGCGTGGGAGAGTGGCTTTGGAAAGGGGAAATTAAAAAAAAACCCAAAACACCACTTTCTCAGGGATGGTCCTGCCTCAAGGAGTCTGTGCAGCTGTGAGCTGCAGAGCTGTAGGGCAGCATCCTCCACCAGCAGCCCCAGAGCGTGCCTGGGATGCAGAAAGCCCTGCGGTGGCACCCCTTCAGTCCCCCTCCCCAGCTGAAAGGCTGCTCCATCAACACCCTTCACAAGTGGGGAAGCTGGAAGTGTTTTCTTTCACCTGTGCCCCAGCTGGGGCAGACGAGGAAGGCAGCCTCCTGCACTGCCCCAGTACTGCTGTATGCCCATTCGGAAACCACTTATCCGTACATGTAGAAATCATCTAATAAGCCACAGACAGTTACAGTACACACAGGAAAGCATGTTTATCCCCTCTGTATGAAACACTGTCTTTCCTAACAACAGTAAGCAAAAAATCCTTGCCAGCCACCTTGCATTTCAGTATCACAGAGCTTGAGAAAAAAAAAAACAGTATCACAGAGTTGAGAAAAAAAAAAAAAAAAAATTGCCTCTTTTGAAGAACACCTGTCCTCCAGGCAAGTTTGAACATTACAATCATCTTAAAGAAATAGAGTCCAAGATCCAAAGCCGTAGTTTCCAGAAGCAACCAGTGCAGGCTGAGGCTCATGAGAGGCAGGCACCTGCCGGTACTAAACCCTTATCTGAGGAAAACAAGACCTCTTTGAAGAGAACCAAGTTCAGTCCTCAAAACCACTAAGGGCACTCAAAAATCTTTGCCTGGGAAGGTTAAGGCAGAGTTTGACACAACGGCTATGGGCTCTGCTATTGCCAAGAGGAACAAAGCAGGGTCTCGCTCCTGGTTGTGTTTCCTCTTCTCTTTCCTAACCCATGCACATATCGGGGCCCAAAGGGTTCAGTTTGAAGAGCAGAAAGCCGACCAGTTTTCTTGATTTGCTACCTCTGATAGTTATGTTGTCAACTGAGTCTTATGGGTTTGTGAGCAGTTAATCCAGCAATGCGTTGCTCCTAGCCGGCATGTCCAGCATCTGCAGCAGAGAGCAGTCCTCCCTGCCTTCTGGGAAGCTGATGGACAGACCTGTGCACCCCTGTGCAGGAACAGATGGATGTCAGGCAGACTGATGGGGGTCAGGCAGAGAGTGGGAAGCTGGAAATGGTGGAATAACATTGCCAGAAATACTGTTGTGAGTGTGGTTTAATGGCTCACACAGACCTGAGTTTACAAGGTTGGTTTTTTCTCTTACTGGGCTCGTGCTTTGTGTGCTAACCTCTGCTTTGCACTGGGTGGTGCTGGTTCATTACGATCCCAGTAAGAAAGGCGCTCTGAGGTATAAAAGTGCTGTTTATTAGAGCTACTACTGTAAGATGAGAATAGCTCAGATAATCTTATGTCCC